TACAACAATATAGGGTTAAGCGAAAAGCGGGGCTCAAAAGGAGGGCTGGCAGTAAACATTTTATGCGATCTTCTTTTTATTTTCACAATAATCGCAACAGCAAAAGAGGAAAGAACAGCACTCGATTGTACCGAAAGGTTTTGGCAAGGGAGGGAGGTACAGTAAAACCTGGGGTAGAGATAAAGTATCCGGCAATATGCAACTACATGCCAAAAACTATGGCTGCAGAGGCGGCAGCAGTCCATCTGGAAAAGCCGGAAAATCCCAACCTCCTTCTCCCCTATTAACCCACCCCTGCAGCGGTAATTAAATTGCAGCTGGCTTTCATTGTTGGCGCCTTTTGAGAGTCGAGTGCACAGATGCCTAAAAGCACGTCCCTTGTTTTTTTTTTGGTCCCCAAAAACTTAACAGCCCCCTTTATTATCAGTTTTCAGACACTCGCAGAAGTGGTCCAAAAATGGGCGGCCTTGCTCATTAAATTCAGCCAAACAGAAAATTACAAATAAAATATGGAAACTCTGTGAAATAAAGTTTACTTTGTAGAAGATGAAAATGAAATAAAAATTAACTATTTAAAGAAGGTTTCTTAAGCATACTTTGAACGTGGTTTTAAGTTTTCAAATAATATATATTTTAAAATTTTGTATACCGAGATCTTTTTTAGCCAACGTATCAACATTTTAAAGCTCTTGTTTTGGGGGCTAGAAATTTCTAAGTGGAGACTTGCATGGCGAGTGCATTTAGCATTTCAGCTTGCCTAGATGTTTATTTAAGCGAAGCTTGAGTTTCCCACCGTTTACATGGAAATTATTGTCCGTCCATTTATTTGTCCGATTGTGGTAGATTTTCCGGACGGATGTCAGTCAGTCGGTGGTTGGTCTATTTGCCTCTTTACTCCCTGAATTAGTTGAGCGCATCAGTCAGCTCGATTGCTTTTGCCCGGCAAAGAGGTTCTGTGCCAGATTTTCAATGCATCATCAGCACTATAATTATCGGCATTAGTTGGTTGCAGAACAGTGGTTCTTTCTTTTGCAAATAATACTTAAATATAAAGCGAAAAAAACTAAATTGTGAAATAAAAACAAATATCATATATAGGAAGCGTAGTAAATAATGTAGTAAAATATATTGACAAGTTTATTTCTTTTATAATTTTAGTGTTTAATTACCATAAAATGGACACAGTCCACTATGCTGTTGAGCTATGAACAATGGGCATGGCAACAAAAGCGTGTGCTTTGGCCAACATTTGACCAGATTTAGACAATACAATGCTGCAGATTGCAGACACTGGACTCGGGACATCAGACCGAGGACCAAGGACTAAGGACTTTGGACTCAAAGCTCAGAACTCAGAATACTTGGAGCTTAAGGAGTGCTCCTCCGATCTGGAAAATGCATTTGGGAGGCAATGGGTCCACCGCAGCTACTTACAATGGCCGCAAGCTGTCGACAGGCAGCTCACCCTGCAGGCTGCTCCTCGTCCTGCTTCTAAATGCAGATGCAGATGCAGTTGGATTTACGGATACAAATGTAACTGCGGCCCAAGATACAATGGAATGCCTGGCCTACCTACCTACAAGTAAGTTTATCGGGGTTTGGGTTTCCCAACTAGTGTTAAGCATTTTAATTGCTGGCATTAATTTAGACATAGAGCATTTATTCACCCAGCCAATGCCAGCCAATTTCAAAATTTCCCTACCTCCCACCATTCACATAATCAAAAGTGCCTTGGCAAAATAAATAAATGCATTCGAACTGCTTTTAGCCTTAGTGAAAGACGAAATATGCACACTTAGATGGCTGCTCTCTGCAATTGCCATTTAATTAAACCTCTTTGCCAATGATTTTTGTAAATTTGGAATAATTTGTGGCCATGCTTAGCCAAGCTGAATCGTTTGTTATAATGCATTTTGCCCATAGTTCAGGAGATTATAAGTTCAATTCAAGGCGCATTTACCCGAGGGGATTTGTCTAAGAACTTACATAATTTCATGATTAATTGTTAAGCTGGTTTTAAACAATATTCGATCTTTAATTTCTAAATAAGTGAAAAGAAGGCTGTTTTACATATTTAATTTAATTTCACATTTCACTATTTAAATCCTTGATAAAAAGTGAAAAAAAAAAGAAACGTTGACAAGCCAATTCAGGTTGCAAAATGTTTCATTTTCGGCCTAGTTAAATTAATTTGCTATGCGAAATTTTGGTCCGCCTATTTCTGCGGCTACTATACTGCAGCTGCTACTGCAGTTGCTGCTGAAGTTGCTGATGCTGCGGGCAGTAAAACTGCAGCAGTCATCATATTAAAATGCAATTATACAATTGCTTTTGTATTGCCGCCACCTGGCACCAAACCCTTTGCAATTTGCCCATTTTTGTCGCACTCGTGCATAATTTATACCGATGTGTATGTACCTGGTGTGGGTGTGCGATTGGGCATTTCGTAAATTCATAACGAGATGCATCAAAATTTAAATTGTCATCCATCCACAGTGGGTCCCTTTGAAATGTGAACTTCCACTTGGATGTTTAAATTAATATTTAAGCTTAGATCTTCAATACGTTCCCATATTTTAACGAAGAGCCACTGTAAAAGTCAGTCTTTGCTTGCAGATGCCGCTAGGTGGCGGCAGACACCCAAAAAACTGTCGGCCGAAAAGTAGGCAATGGATTTTGGCCAACGAGCAAAAGAGTTAGAAAAAGGCAAAGCGGGAGAATGGAGAAAGGCGGCAGAGACTGCACTGAAGATGGCGGCAAACGAGGCGGGGTAAATCAGGGAAAGTGCAGTGAAGTTGTCGGCACAAAGGCGCTGGGTCAAGGAGGCGGGGCAGGCCGGGATTTTCCCGGTGTTAGGACCAACTTTAGCACTTGGCCCGCCCCTTTATCCTTGGCTTCCTCTGGTCTTTTTTTTTTTTTGGCATTTTAAGCGTGCAAATGTTAAGTTGGTATTTCCCTACAACCCCTCCTCCCCCCGCACTTTTTGCCTTTTTATAGAGAAAACTTGGAGTTGGCGTCGTCGCCGCCCTTTTGTGCCAACTTGACAAACTAAAAATGAAAAAAGTTTCCCCGAGCGGCGCCTTTTTCAATATCCTTTTCCCCACAAAAAAAAAAAAATAGGGGGGACGGGGCTGGGCAGGGCGGTATGGGGTCGAAGGTGAAGTAACATGTAAGAAGGCAGCCATGACGACGACTCGACGTATTGATTTTGATTTTGGGCCGCCACTCGAGACCTTCCCGCCGACATCCGACATCCGACATCCGAAAACTGAAATCTGAAAATCGTGGGCATCGCAGTCGAAGGGAAAATACCCAGGCCCAGGATGATTTTGTGCCGGGAATCCGTAGGATTTGCCGCATTAATTGGCAATTAGGTGACTATTTCCATACCAACATATCCACGTAGTCGAAAACGTATCACTTAGGTAGGCCAGCAATTAGAGTTTTTGGTAGTTCTTTAATCGTATTAATCACCTTCCAAGTTAAGAAGTCTTTTTGCATAAGATTTATTGATCACTTTAATAAGGTGTCAACTTAGCTTTGTTTGTTTTTGGGGTAAAAGAAATATTTTACACTTCATGTACTTTATCTTTTGATTTCGATCACATTTTAATAATAATTTTTATAGAATTATTTTACATCTCAGCTCAATAAAGTGTTTAACTTTAATCATTCATGGCAACCGGAGATGTTGTCTATTTTTAATGGAGTCGATCTAGTCTGACCCTTAGCCCGAGCCAATTAATCGGTGTAAACCGGTTCGCATTCCCCTCCAATCTCCACGATCTGTAGATAAATTTCAGAGAACCTGACAGCGCCAAAAGTTCAATTCCCCTGAAGACGGCTGCTGCTTCTCTGCGCTGTTTATGCGTAATTTGCCAATTTGCACAAATTTCGGGTATTGAAAAAATAAACAAAGACGACGAGAGAAAGCGGAGAAATGAACAAGGCACTGAGAAAAATTTTAGAGACTGATTTTTTTTATTGGCCTACGTTGTCGAATGAAAATACTCTTTTTTTTTTACTAATAACTGGCACTTTAACTTATAAAAACACTTTTCATTATTTCATTTCAAACTTTAAAAATCTTTAAGTTTACTTCTTATATATTTAAATCTCTATTTTCTTTTATAAATATTTTTTCTAGTAAGTGAAAACATTTTCCTTTGTGTGCGCGTCACAGTCCTTTGAGTCGGTTTTTGGGTCCGGTTCACGCTTTATTTTCATGGTTCATGGGCGGGCCAGATATCCTTGAACTTGCCACAGTCGGCGGCAGGATATCATGTTCCCATATTTCGTCTGGCCCCTGGTGCCCTTATTTCTTATTTTATTTATATATAAAATTGTGCGGCAAGTCGTTGACTTGGCCTAATCCAAACCTTTTTGCCCCAACGCTTATCAATTGTTCTTGAAAAACGGGGGGGACAAGGGTTTTCCAAGTTGAACCACCATTTCGTTTTACGTGCCACGCGAAAAGTTTTCAGGGTCAAACGTGTATATAAAATACTCGCACATTTATATATATATATATATGTATCTGTACGTGGACAAATACCTTTTGTTCTTGCCCAATTTGCCATAAAATATGGCAAAATGAAATTTAAAACCTCTTCAAGATATTCCATTATACGCCAGCTCTCCTTTGTTCGTCGTTTTTCACCTGAAGAGTTGAATGAAACTGTAGCTGAAATTTAATTGGAAGTAAAAGAGCTGGAATTTAATAAGCTTGAGAGTAATATGTGAACTAAGTGAGGCATTAAATCTTTTTTTTCACCTCGAAATTGAGAACTTAAATCAATTTATATATTTTTTTACTATTGACCCAAATAGAAAATCAAAGCAAAGGCTTCGTTGATTCACTTCGTATTTATTGGCCATTTTATTGCTGATAATTCTAGTTTATTATTTTCATGTTTGTTAAAGAATAAAATATATTCTCCACTTAAAAAAATATTAAAAAAAAAAAAATTCTTTATAAATAATTCGATCGATCTTTAGAGTTAGTTGGCTATTTGAAAGCGTCGCCAGATGCGCTGCAATCGAGAATCGGTGGCGGACTGACCAGTTTGTGGTTGGATTCGATCGTTGTGATAGGGTTCGATGAAGTTGACCGCGGATTCGGTGTTCCGTAGCTGGTTTGCCGCTGGCTTCTTGTTGACCTTCCTCTTCTGATGACGCTTCTTTTTCTGTGGATGCTTGTGGACTCGTCTATGTGTCTTCTTGACCAGGTTCTTCTTTCTATTGTTCAACTGTATGCCCTTCAGACGAAGTTTCGTTGACCATTGTGCTGACTTTTTCGGTTTTAGAGTCTCCAGTTCCAGGATGTCCTCCTCATCCTTGTCTTCTGGTAGATCCAGTCGATCCTGAAGACCCCGACCTGTCATGGTGGTGGTCACTGGAATTTCCTGTACCTCAATATTCTGTGCTTCCTTTTGATGGACATTTCCATTGAAGGATCGTGCCGTACTGTTGGTTGTGGGCGTGGTTGTTGTTGTCGTCGATGTCGTGGTGGTGGGCGATCCAGTGGGCGTGGTCGTTGTCGTTGTTGTCGAGGGCTGTGTGATCACAATCACATTGTCACTGGGCGGCTGCTGGAAGAGTCCACGCATCATCATAAACTTCTTCATCAGATCCCGACCAGAACCCACATCTTGTGGAGATGTACTGCCAGAAGCACTGCGTCCCTGCAGCTTTGGCAGGCGGTAAGCTGATGTATAGAAATTGCAACCATTAGTTTTATAAAATCTTGTCACGAGTGTATCTAAACTCACCACTTCTACGCGATTCGCAAGTGGCCAAAATGGCCAATAAGATGACAAGAAATGCAGATATGTTCTGGGAGATCTGCATGTCGTGGGGGTTCCTTGGACAATGTTTGGAAATGGATCGATGAGCTCCGTTCTTATAGCACCTAGCACACCCTAGTATAAGGTGCAATTAAAAATTTCACCCGCGTCAGAAAAAAAACGAGAAGCAAAAACCAAAGAGTGACACATCTTGCGTGATGCCTCGACGACGTGCAATTATTGGGCGTCTAAGAAGGGGAAGTCGATGTCGGGTCTTGATGGGGAAAGTATCTGTGGTATCCGGTGTCTCTGGATACGGCCAGACATGCCGAGATCTCTCCGACCACCGGGCAGTAAATCAAATCTAATAAACTCGACAATAAACATGCGTTCGCATAAATCTGCACTGGCCAAAGGGGAAAAACTCGAAGGCAAAGATATTCCGGGCTGTATAAATAAATAAACGAACTCATGTCCGCCCGCTCCAAAAAATACAACACAGTTCAAAATAATAGGGGTCGAAGGTGTGAAGTTAAGCTCGAGAAAGGTGGAAAAAAAGTGAAAAACTAAAACCTCTTTAAAATGATAAGCAGTGGGAGAATTTAGGATAATTTTCATCATAGGTTTTGAATTTGTTATAATTTAAATTACTAATCTATATATATTTCGAATATGAATAACTGAAAACTTTAAGGTCACCTTTTCTTAGAAAGAGTACTATTTTTACGATCTCGATGGTAGTAAATTTATTTGCCTGCACATATTTATATTACACGACCAGTATCTGTGGCATAATGTGGCATTCTGGGAGGATAGTGTCGAGTGCGTGAGCCGCACCACCAGGCAAATAACTTTGGCATAATTCACTTAAATCTTTTTGTTTTAATCTTGAAAAGTGTTTCCCACAAAACTCTCGCCAACACGCACACGAAGAGCTTTTCTGACAGGCAAAAGATACAGAATACAGAATACAGAATACAGAATACAGAATACAGAATACAGAATACAAAATACAGACTACGGAATAAGGAATACAGAATATGGAATACAGAATATAGAATACAAGATACAAGATACACAGATACTTGTCTACGTGAGTCGGTGGTATTTCCTTGGTCCTTAGCTTTAACACCCGTCTGCCAAAATGTTTTCCCGTAATCATCCAGAGTGTTGTGTCAATAGCTCGACGTTCCGTCCAACTTTGTATTTACTGTTATCGTTATTATTTCCACAGTAACACTTGTGGTCAAGTGGAAGTTTGAGTTGCAAAATCTACACAAAAGGTTCACTGAGCTCTTCTAATGCATATCTGTAATATTCTATTTTGCGGGGAATGTCAGTTGGCAGCAGAAAAAGACAATCTCCTCGTTATTATTTTTATTTACGTTAAAGTTTATGTCTTAGTACATCAAATTTCCTCAAGAAGTTGTTACTTTTTACAAAGCTCCCTTTAAATTTGATAAAACAACAAAAAAAAAATCACTTCAAAAGCGCCCTACGGTAAAGAAATAAATTGAAAAGATTAATTCATGTTCAAAGAAAAAAGGCTTAAAATAAGCAATTAAAATCCCTTGAATATATATTGGAAAATATGTGTCCTGTAAAATAATTGGAAAAGCTATTTTAATGCATTACTGCAGAATGTTGATGGGTGAATTAAAAATCTACGAATCAATCATAATTTGCAATCTGTTCTTTTTTTTTTATCTTCTTGTTTTGGTGCTTTTGTTTTTTTTCCCCTTGAATTGCTTAAATTCCATTTACATTGGCCGGGCCAATAAATTGAAATAATTTGAAATTGGTCCTTGGGTTTTTGTGTATTTTATATAACGAAGGAATTCCATCTTCGGTTATTATTTTGCTTGCATTTCTGATTAAATATCTTCAAGTGTCGGAGGTCCTCAGAAGTGGAAGCCAGACGATGTTTGGCATAAAATTCAATTATAGAATTTTCTATTAACTTAAAAGCTTCTTATATTTATTTAATTTGTTATTGTGTCTCAGTTTGGTTTTTGCCTGTGCGCATTGGGGGAGGTGAGTCCACATCTATCTGTTATTATTATTGAGTTCTCTCGACAGTTGAGAGCCCAGAATGTTGCCATCAATTAGACACACACACACATACAGAATTTGGCCAGAAGTGGAGTGGAGAGGGAGTGGAGTGGAGAGTGGTAGTGGAAAATTCATACTATTTGCCATTTTGCCATTTGCCATTTGCCATTCGGCATTTTCTTCATTTCCTCCGCAAACATTTGCCAGATAATTTGACAGAACGCTCTCTGTCTAACCCACTTCGAAAAAGTGCCATATTTTTGACTGATTGAATTGTCTTTGTGAAGCAAATTAAAATTGATCTAGTTAGCGCATCTATTTCATAGAGTTTTTCCCAATGGCAAACTTTCTTTTTCCCAAGCTCATGTAAAATGTTTATGGGTAATAAGCGAAACTCTGCTCGCAAATTGAAAAGTTTTCCTTCCGGCCAATGGAAAAACTTATCAACTTAATATTATTGGGGCCAACGCAGAGATGAGGAGTTTCGCGAAAAGAGTTCAGGAATTTCTTCTTTTTTTTTTTTCAACATATTTTCATAGCCACAGTTGGGTTTAAAATAATAATGGTGAAAGCAGGGAATATTATGAAAGAGGTTAGATGGTTTTATAAATAATTAAACCTCTTAATCCTTAATAAGCGGATATATTATTCATAAATAACTCAAATGATGGTAATTACCCATGATGGTAAATACCCGTTAAATTGCGACTATTATTTGTGGCATATCTGTAAAATAGAATGAATATAGCCATAACCAGTTGCTTGGTCTAGTTTGGATGATTAAGCTGTCAGAGCAATTGATTCCCATTAAAGTTGGCCACTCGGTTGAGTTTGAATTTACCAATTTAGAGTAACTATCAGGAATAATATCAAACTTGTTTTTAATGCATTTTATTTAGTTTAGGTAGGTGTAGAAAAAAAATTGTTCTTAAGTTTAGTGGTCATTCTGATTCTTTGTTCCGTTGTTGATTAACACGTACTACTTGAGGTACTGCACCCTGCGAATATTCTGGGCCAGTGACTGTAGAGGTCGCCTTCTGGCCAAAGGACGAGGTCTTAACCGCTGGCCAAGGATTCCGTAGCCGGGTGAGACGCCAACTGAGTGACCAGAACTACCGACCTCTTGACCACCATCATTGAGACTCTCCTCGTCCACTTCAAGTTCTGGTGATACGGCAAAGCCAGATATATCATCGTCGCCCAACTGATCCTCCTCCTCCCTGATGGCGGGCATTGGAGGAGGCGGTGGTGGAGGAGGACTACTGGCCAATTGACGGTACATTCGTAGATTCATGGGCACATATCTCACTTCGTTGCCAATGGTAATGGGAACCAAGGGTACACCAGGCAGACTATAGCCACCGTTGAGGCCACCCAAACCGGCATAACTACTACCCAAATCTCCGCCATAGAAAGCCGCCTCATTCCAGCCAAATAGTTCCGGATAGGTAAGTGCCGGTGATGATAATGAGCCGTCGTCCTGTCGCTTCCGGAAATATTGCATGGGCAGTCCGGCCGGATATCCAATTGGAGCCCGGATAAACTCTCCAGCTCGAGTGGCCGTTGTGGTCGTGGATGCCGGAACTGCCGTAGCATTGGTCACAACCGTATTGGTATTGTTGTTATTGATTGCGCCGCCGCTACCCGTACCGGTTACCACGACAACGGTGGTGCCGCGTGAAAAGAACCTGCCCTCATTCCGTCCCTGAGACCGCTGGGCAATCTGGGCAGGACTCAGTCCACTGGTCAGCAGAAGGACCTGTTGCAAATCAAACTGCTGGCTATCGCTTGCGGGATCCTCAAGGTTAACATACACTGCACGCGGTTCGGGAATTTCCTGGGATTTCTCTTGCGGCTCCGGAAAATTTAAACCCTCTAGTAGATCCTTCCAGGCCAATGGGATTACATAGCTACTCGCCTGACGAGGTGCTGTCCTGGCCACATCGATAGCCGAAAGGACAAACAAGAGGAGCAGGCAAGAATAACTCTTCAGAGGAGGCTGCATTTCGCTATGACTTGTGGTGAAAACTGTGAATGGTCCGTGGCAATTTGCAGACTTTTATAGCTCCAGTTTTTTGGGACCGTCCTAATGAGTCGCCATTTATCCACCAGCTTATCACAGATTTTTCGCGACTAAATCCATTAATCACACTTCGTATCTATTCTTGGTCTACTTGGGTTTTTTGTTTTTTTATTTTTTCACTGGGCTTATTAGTTTGGCGTATAGAATGGAGCTGATGTTAATTACACGTGCCACGGATAAGGCAAATTAATGGGGCAAGTAGAGTTATTCTGTAGCAGGCAGATTATTCAATAAGTTTTAAGATTTTCTTTTGAGATTGCATAGCTTGAAAATTCAAAGAATGAAATTTTATATTTACAAATTTTAAAGAATTTATAATAGAAAGTATCAAAAGTTTTTCACTTATTAAGCAATGCAAGAGTATACTTTAAAGTTTTCTACCTTTATTTTTAGTTCACAATTTAGAGACACTTAAATGAATATATACTAATATTTAATAAATTCATTAAGATCCAATTGCTGTGCCTTTGTGAAGATATCAAGTATGAATGAGTATCAAGATATCAGTCTGTTTGGATTTGAATTGAATAGTTTGTTAGTCTTTCATTGGATAGATTTATTAAATATATTAAATGTTCCTCGTTTGCTACGCTTTGACAGTTTTGGCCCCAAATGGATGGCAATATATATAAGCAAAATGCATTTTAGAGTGCATATTCCTATGAGTTCTTTATGTCCACTTTCATTTTGCTTGATGCAAGACAAATAAATATTCTGTTTCACTTATTTTTCGGGCATTTTCATGCTTGCAGAAACACTTGCCACCTCGCCTCGTCTTTTTCGCGCCATCGCTGGATTTCTTCTTTCTCATGGTTCTTAAGACTGCTTGTCTGTCTCTTTCAAACATTTATGCGTGCTTGTGTTTGTGGCCGTGTGCCTGTGCTTGTGCTTGTGTTTGTGTTTGGCCCAATGTGTCAAAGTCAACTTGGTAAAAAGTTTGCTTTTTATTATTTTGTTGGCACTTCTTGAACTGCTTTTTGGCTGCATATTCTCTCCTCTTATTTTTATTTTCTGTTTCTTCCCTTTCACTTCGCTTTCTCAGTTCTTATTTTTGGCCAACTATTGCTACTTCTCGACCAGATGCTCTAGTTATTTTAAGGGCAGTGAAAAATATAATGGTGTTGCATATAAAAAACACAAAATATATATACATATAAAGTACAACCTTTAGAAAAGCAAACTACAATGAAAGGGAGAGTTTACTACAATAAATCAGTAGGAAAATCATCTGTAAACTATACAAAACATGCAGTTATATAATATTTTTATAAATATTTCTAAAATCTTTTCCACGCAAGAGAGTTCACTGTATGTAGGAGAAAGTGGCCAGCCGTCGAGTTAGAAACTGGTACGTTGGTCGGTTGAAAATGGTAAGGCCATAAGGCGATTTTAGCGATTTTACTTCTGCCCGAAGGCTTTTTTTTCGGCAATAAAAATTTAAGTCGATTTTATGTAGCAGGTTTTTAGGATGCTTTTTAAGCGGGCTTAAAGGGAGCAGTAAGTTTCTCCCCCTCCAAGAACTCTCTGCAAAGTTGCAGTTGCCTTTTTCAAAAATTTTTTATTTGCCAAACATTACACACAAAGTTTCATTTCTCTGGCGATTTTGTTGTCTAAGGTCTGCGAGTCATACGAAAGAGATAGCGCGAAAGTCAGTTGAAAAGAGAGGGCAGACATAAGAAGAGCGAACGAGGGGAGAACTAAACTGCTCAGAGTTAATGGCATCGTCAAAAAATTGGAAAGGTTTATTTAAATTTCAACTTGTTTCGAAAACGTTTAAAAAGTTTTGCGCTACTAACTGACTGCTGATAACACAAAAGTCTCCCTACCCCTTTTTTCCAACCCCTTAACCCACTTATTTTCCGACTTCTTCGGCAGCAAAGAAAACTCCTCCATCCCATTTTCCTGTCCTGGGGCCAAGTTAAAACAACTGACAGAAAGTTGCTGCCTCCGAATGGCACCGAATCAAAGGGGAAATTGGGAAATGGAAAAGCTGACAGAGAAGGGGGTAGAGGTAGAAACCAAAGGGAAGGCCGTGACAAAATTAACACAAAATATTTTATTTCTCAGCCAGACAAGATGGCAATGAAATGGAAAGATCCAAGATGAAATGGTTAATAAATACGAAGTGTAGTAGGGGGTTTGATTAACAGGATTAGGGTCACTTTTTGAGTGTGCCTTTAACAAATGTATTAAAGAGATGTTAAGTATTGAGTTTTAAGAGTTTAAAGTTTGTTTAATACAAAGAAACATATAGCACTTTTGGAAGCAAGTAAGCCAATTCGTTAAAAATTTTTCGCAAAATGCATTTCAGTTAATAAAACGAATGGGAATTTTTGAAAGTCTCATTGGCTTTTTGGCGGTTTTCCTCTGTCTATTTATCCATCCATTTTCATTCCCGGATGTAGGTTTTCCTCCTATTCCCTTCATTTATTTTTCCCACCCGTTTAACGCCCGCTTTTTTTTTTGGCTCGCCAATGAATCTGTCAGTTTTTCAAATATCCCCAATGCCATTGTGCAACGTTTCGAGTGGCAGGCACTAATATTGACAACGCACAAATGTAGAACAAGGGAGTGGTGGTGCCGTCGGGGGCGAGGTGGTGCTCCAAAGGGGGAGAGTGGATGATGGTACTCCAGTGGGTGGTGGTGCTGTGAAAACGTGCCTGAGCACGTCTTCTACTTAACTTTGTTAAACACAAATCCTTTGGGCAAAGAGTTGCTCCGTCCTTCTCTTTCTGCCCACGCACACGCATTAGGGGCACGGTGGGTGGTGGGTGGTGTATGGTGTATAGGTGGTTGTGGCATGATGCCCAGAGGGAGCGGGTTCGGTGGACAGACCGGCAGACATAATCGCATAAAGATAAAACAGTTTAACAGTCGCAATGAACAAAAGCAACTGATTTTTCGGCCGAGAGAAGAGGACCATTCAATTGACCTCCTGCTGATTTCAATGGGCGGGGATTGGGGGAGACAGCACCAAAAAACTCAAACTATACAAACAAAGATGGCCAACGGCGCTCGTCGCACAAAAACTGTCAATTATTTAAATCGCCTGGCAAAAATCTTGGCCAGGTATTCAGTTCAGCAGGGAAAGCCCTCGGGGGTGGTCCCAAAAATGGATATTTATGCTTTTATGTTTATAATGGAAGGACACTGAAAAAAAAAACAATGTGTAGGTAATAAATTCACCAACAAATTACAGTGAATCCCTTGAATGCTTAAGGAACATAGTAGGAACATAGATCTGGTTAAATATATTTGTGATACATATACTATGCAACCTCCAATAATCCCATATTTCTAAGTGTAAACGAAACTAAGTACATACATTTGAACTGTGCCAGAAATGTCCTCTGTCGGCTGGTAATTTAAATTAAAGTAAGCTCTTTTTGCCACCTAAATACGAGCGATTCTCTGCAGGCTTTTCGGAGGATAGGCAGCTCTGGTTTAGGGTTGTCAGGTGGCGTCAAGGTCGAAGGTCGTCTTAGTACCGAATCGAAATGTTAAATGTGAAATGCGCGCAAATTAAAATAATAAATCTGCCAAATTAAACACGGAACTCGTTAAGGCCGGGGTGTCCACGGGATGTCGAGATGCTGGGATGTTGGGAAACGTCGGGGTGTAGGAGGAGTCCTTTGTATCCTGCTGATGGCGGCTTCTTTTGACGTCGTCATTAGCAGCATTTACACGTCGCTCAGGGATAATAAGTAACCGGGCCAAGTGCGAAAATAAAGAAAGCGGAAGAGCAGACGCAGACGCAGACGCCAGCGAAGACTGACACAAATTAAACTGAAATTAGTTGCAACTCACTTTGGCCCCACTGCTGCCAAATGAATTGGGGGCTGTTGAATGGGGGGGCGGGGGGGTGTCAACGCTGGCTGCTGCTCCTCTTTGCCCATTGTCGAGCACCGAAAAAATAAGAATGTAGCGAATGAAGGACCCGATGACTGGTCTAATGAGAAATGTCTGTTGGGCAAGACACGGGGTAAAAAAGTGCAACAGGACCAACTGAGACATGCTGTTGGCATCTTTTTAAGTAAAGTGGTGCCCAAATTAGTCACCATTTAATAATTGGCAAACAAAAGTGCTTTTATTTTTTGGACATTTTACATTTACTGTACTACATTTGATCAGTCTCCAATTCGAAATTGAATACCAACTTAACGTTACAAATCATTTGTTAATTAATTCTGCGAAATTCGATCGTTGTTTTAATGCTGCGGGGAACAACGTATTCATTGTCCGGAAATTGAAAAAAACATTGTAATTGTTGATGTTCTTTGGATTCACGTTGATGCTTGGCAAGATGCAATAACAAGGGAATGTGTTGTAAATCTATATGGCAGCGAAAAAACCTTTTGAAATATTTTAACCAATACAATTTCAATTTTGTTTATAAGTTTTTATCATGGGGCTTAATTTCTGATTTGTATAATTTTCTATAATGACTTTAAGTGCTTTTCTTTTATACTTTTAAAGAGATAATAAGTGCTGAACTTTAAAACATATTTTCTCGTTGGAAATACTTTACATTCCCTGTAGAGAAACTCCTTTTCCCAAGTGGCTGCAAAACTCCTTGATTGACCAACAGGGGGCGCCACACGCGCTTGATCAATGTTAATTGACCGAAAATTGTTTTTGCCGTTGACCGCGACGATGCGGTGCTTAAATGCCTCCTGCAGTCGCCGTTTATGACTTGGTCCATTGTCCTCGGTGACCACAAGCCCTTACTTTCCGCTACCCTGCCTTAAATGCATCCCAAACCCCTCTTAAAATTGCCGCCCCTGGCATTCTGCGGCGGTTGTTGCTGCTGTTGATGTTGCTGTTGCTGTTGCTGTTGCTGTTGCTGTTGCTGCTGTTGCTACTGCTGCTGATGTTGCTGTTGCAGCAGCGACAGTTACTGCAGTTGCAGCTGCGGTTCGCTCGCTCAACTG